GCAGTCGAGCGGACGAAAAGCCCAGTTGGAAAGCAAAGAAAATGACGGTTTGAGACCCAACGACGAACCTGATGCCAGTTCGGCGGCCCCGTTGAGCAACAACCGCCGCAGAGGGGGGAATTACCTCCAGCCCCCCACGGCCGCGCAACAGGGGGGAGGGTGGACACTCGCGCAGCAGCGAAAAGAAGCCAATGAACCCAGAGCGAGCGTGCCACGCAGGCCCAGGAAAGAGCACGCATGCAGGCTCGGCAGGCGCGCGCCAAGAAAATGAACGCGGGCGGTTTCGCCTCGGCGAGGATCACTTTTGGGCGGGGGCTTCGTGAATGCTGCAGCGCAGCCCAATCCTGGACAGTGAAAGATCACCCTCGCCAATTGCACTCCAGGATGCTGCTCGCCGAAGGTCGCGGGCCCCGCGCCTCGCGGCCCGAAGCCCACGCTGCAACGGCTCGTCCGCAGCGCCGCCGCACCGTCGGACGGCATAAGAAAACGAGATAGAAGGGAAAGAGGGCCTTCATCACGGCGCACAGCGAACAACGCGCGAGCGCGTCCTTAAGCGTCAGGCCACGGAGGTCATGAGCGGGGCCGAAAGGGACCGGTGGGGGGGCTCTCCCGAGGACCTACAGGGACCGAGGGGGACAGCGGCACTAACTCTCGGGGCCCTAAGCTTCTCAGACCTGTTAATCTCAAACCCGACTCCTCGGTGCCTCCAACCTGCCCCTCCATCTTCCCATGCCCGGTCCCGCAAATGCGGGGCAACGCCTGCGTTCTCCGGGGTCTGGGGGCCGTTCTGCCGAGCTGTTGGCAGGGGGGCGGGGCGGCCGCGGCGACGGCGGGGCGGGGGGGGGGGGCAAGGTAGGGCGACGACGGCGACCCGTCAGCGGCAGCAGCCGCAGCAACAAGGGTAGCGCAGCAAACTTTCTCAGGAGACCGCGACGCTACCCGGCTGGGCGCCTGCGGAAGCCGGCCCACGCCCCAGGGCTGGGAGACGCGAAACAGGGCCCCAGAGACAGAAGGGCCCCCAGAGGCCCTCTCCCCACGCTCGCACTCCGGGAGGAGTGCGCTGGTAGCGCACGACACCGCAATAGCCTCAACTGCTGTGCGACTAGCCCCTCTGGACCGGGACTTTACACTCTCGTTCAACGCCCGTTCGTCGAAATGCCCGCGCTCATTAACCAACGCGAGACCTCCGCGACGCAAGGTCATTAAGCGCCAAGCCCCCCCATCGTCGGGTCTGATTTTGTCAGCGGGTCGGCGGGCATTCGCCCGCGGGGAACCCGTCAAACTCTCGACCCGGTAGCCGGGAGGGGACCCCGAATGACAGAAAGCTCAACCGCATTGCGGCAGTCTGCCCTCGAGCCCGCCGAGTTCGACGGCGCATCGAACACCGATTTCGCGTCGACAACCGCCGCGCCTTTCGCCTCTTCCCCCAGACGACACTGCGACGACAGAAGAACAGAGAAGGGGGCGCGCGATTTATGCCGCGCTGGCTTGGGAACAACACCGAACGCAACTTCTTTCGACCTAATCCGCAGCCGCTGGGCTTCCGCGGTAGCCCCGCTGAGGGCCGAGGCCTCTGCGGCAACGGCGCTCGACGCAGCGCGCTTCAAGCGCTGTGATCTCCGGGCCAATGCGCTGGCGGCTCGAGCACGGCAGTTCGCCCGAACTCCAGCCTCTGCGGCCGCAATGATCCACGCCCCCTGCGCCCCTCCCCGGCGGGCAGAGCCAGGCCCGCCGGCGCCCCTCGCCGCGGCAAAAACTAACGAAACGGAATCGAAACTCCAAAGGGGGATTTTCTGCCCCGCCGACCCCCTCAAGCATTTGCACGTCTTGTCGAGAAGCAAGGCATCCGCCGCCGTCGGCCCCGGCAGAGCCGCGGCGAGCAACGAGGCAGGGCCCGCCGCGCCCGGGCGAGATTCCCTGGCCAGCCACTGCGCATGAGCAACGACCGTTCGATCGGGCGCGATCTCCGCCTTGGTTAGTGGCGACTCGAGGCGCGACCTGCGCTCCTAGGCCAGAAACATAACCGAAAGCTGCTCTCTCACATATTTCTCCTGGTCCACGGGCACCCCGCCAGGCAATTGTCTCGATCGGCGCCCTGCAAGCTCTGAGCCCCCCGCCTTCCACTTCCCGAACTTGAATCGCTCGCGCAGGGGGCTCCGAAGTCCTGGCGCATCTTGGCCCCTACTGGCTATGATAAGATCGTCAACTTCAAATAAGATCAGTCCTTCTAGGCCACCCATGGGGTTTCTTCTGAGCCAGAGGCACGTTTCGAGCACAGATGTCGCAAATCCCAGCGACGAAAGATATTCCGTGAGAGTCTGGTGCCAGAGACCGGGGCGTCGTTTAACCCATGGACGGGAACTATCAGCTCGATTAACTGGTCTGCGAGAACATCTAGACCTGAAAGCGGTCCCACATGGATTGAACCGGCGGGTCGTCGGAGGCGGTTACTCCGGCAAAAGGCGTTCCTGACATGGGCCACAGTAAGAGACCAGCCTGCAGAAATTAGAATCTGGCACGCCATCGCGATGGGCTCCGACTACAATATCGGCGCATACACAGCTAAACTCTCGGCATCTTGGTCCTGGTGGCCATGCGCCCACCAGCGCGACTTCGCCATGGCTGCCGACCCTGCCCCTTGAATAAGTTTGAAACGCCGAACCATCCCGAACGAAGCGATCCTCTCGGGAAGCCTGCTTCGGGCGGCCCGCGAGGCCTCGGGGGGCAAAACTTTGACCGCTCCTGGAGCTGCGATGGCCTCCCACTCGGCCTGATCGGAGATCACAAACTGGGCCCTCTCCTCTGGGGTAAAGTTTGTCGACGCGACTTCGACGCCCCGGGGATTGTTTGGCGGCGAGCCGGCGAGACCGCTAAACTGAGCCCGCGCAGGCTCGCGCAAACTGAACAACGACAGAAAAGTGGGAGCTCCCGGGATCTGGGGCCACTCCTGCAGCTCAGCCAGCAGGCCAACATCATGAAACAATTCAATTGGAACCAAGTCCTCGGCCCCAGCGCGCTGGTCGGAGGAGTCGGGGGGGGGGGAGAGGATGGAGAAAGTTCGACTGTTTCCCCTCCTGGACCGGCGCTGGTCGGCGGCCCGAATGGGGCTGACAGGCGGCCCCTTGGGGCCGACACCGAACGCGCGCTGGCCCTGGGGCCTCAGGAGGAGAAGAGCGCTCTATCTGATATACCATCTCGCTCGCGTGAGGCCCCGAGTCGGGGGGCTGCTCCACCAGAGTTCGCCTCGGTCGCGCAAGTCGATCGGATGGCGCTGAAGCGTCGGGCGCGGCAATGACCCGCCCTCGCATGGTCTCGGACTCTTCCGGAACGGAAATTTCGCCGATTCAGCGCCCGAGGGCTCCGTGGCCAAATGAATGGCCCCTGTCGCCGCTGCGGGGGCGCCGGCAATCTGATCGGCGTCCGAAGGGGGGGGGGGGGGGGGCAGGAGCTGGGCCCCTCGAGGCCCTGGGAGAGGCCGCGCGATGGCCTCGGGAGCGAGTCGGCCCGGATGGGCCTCGGCCACTCTGCCCCGCGCCTCCGGGGGAGGGCGCCCTTCGGCCGCGGCGCCCGCAGCTCCAACTTTGCGCCCTGGTGGCCGAACCCCCTCTCGGAGTCGATCAAGACGAGACGAATCCAGCAGCTCGGCGCCGAGGGCCTCCTGGCGGATAGCTGGGCGAATCTGATCCTCGGAGCACTTCGCAACGCATGCCTCATGGCTACCCAGATCGTCCCCTCCGAAGGTGAACTATCACTCCTGGGCCGGCCCAGCGGTCGCGCTGCTGCGAATGCGCGCGGTTGGCCGCAGCGGCCCCGCGCCAGGCATATACCCGCTCGCCGGGCTTAAAACGGCGATCGGAGCGGGGGCGAGCACGGCTCGCCTCCGACAGCCGGGGCTCGGCGCCCGTACTCGCCACAGCTACTCGAGCAGCCTCTCATCCTGACGTCTAGCGACTCCCCTGGCCGCCGAATCATTCCCGATTGCCCCCGAGACACCCCCCGGCCGCCGAACCGTTCCCGACTGCCCCCAAGACATCCTCACTGCCAACCAGGTCCTGGGCGTCATCGGACAGAAGGGCCCGGGGGGCCCTGGGGTTGCCCCAGAACGAGCTGGGCCGAGCAAAATCCCCCTCGGTGGTTGGCCTGGTGCTCGGCAGCCGCGGCCTCGCACGCAAGGGCGACAACGCCCCCCTCTGTTGCAGGGGCTGCAGGCGATCGGCGCTTCGATGGCACATCATTGAGCGGCGATCACACTTGCCATTGTAGTGGGCGGCAATTCTCGGGCACCGCCCGGTGAAATATCCCCTCGCGCCCGCGCCCCCGCGCGCGCTCTCGCTCGAACTCAGCGCCGCCATCGGTCAAGACTATCTCGGGAAGCCCAAAGAGGCGACCCTAGAGAGACAGGGGAGCGCGCCCGGCGGCGATGGCGGCGTCATTCGCTAAAAGACATGCCGGCAAATAAATGGCGCCGTAATCTACGACATTGAGCGCCGGAGCACTGGCGCCATCAACTTCCAGGTGAAACAAATCAACAGCTATCAAATTTTTAAACTCGCAAGTGCGAGGCAAGTGGGCGCGACTCCAGGGCGGGCGCGAGCGGGGGGCGCAGGCTCCATATGCAAACTCCTTTCGGGCCCAGTCGATCAGATCGCCTCCGGGCGCGCCTTGGCCGCCCTGAGAGTTCGGGGGGGGGGGGTCTTCTAGAGGGGGGCGGCCCAGGTCCACGTGCAGCTTGCGCGCCTCTCCCGGGGGCGCGGGCCCCAGTCCCGAAAGAAGGTCCTCGGGCGCCGTGGCCCCGACCGGCCCAGGGAGAGGCCCGGGGGGAACTTCTGGGCGTTCCTCCTCGAGGTCCCCGGCCCCTGGCTCTTCAGGAGTCGGCCCCAGACGAGGCTCCGGGGGGGCCGCGGGGAACTCGGAGACCCAGCGAGGTCTCGAGGCTCCTCGGGGCCGCCCTCACTCTGGATCGGCTGAGCCATGAAAGAGTCGGGAGAGGGCGAAAAGTGATGTCACCATCGGCGGTGGCCATCGCGCTCATCAGCTCCGCGGAGTACTGCTCCCACGTGGCTGTCCTGAGCCCTCCCTCCAGCTGCAGGCGCCCGTTCTTCTCGAAGCACATCCGAGTGCAGTCTGACAAGAAGGGCGGCGACTTACTGGCCAAGCGAGTCTCTTCCTCGAAAGGGCCCCGGTGCCAGAGACGGCCCGAACTCGCTTTGATCGGCGACCGTGGTTTCGACTCCTTCGAGGTCCAGAAGGGCCCTGATTCCCCTGAGCTCCCAGGACCTCGCGCCTCCTGGATGCCCCAAAGCAAAGCGCCGCCCGCGCTCCACCTGATGACGTACGCAGTCCCGAGGACCACGCCCAAAGAGGTCCTGGACGCGCGCGGGCGCTTTCGCGCCAAGACGGGCCTGGGCGAGGCAGACTGGCGCCCGCGCCCGTGGAGACATGGGGGAGTTCACGGAGCGGCACGCGTGGCAAGCGCGCTAAATGCAATGGTGCGAGGCGCGCCGCGACCGCCGGTATAGGCTACCATCCTGTTCTACCTGATGGCAAAACCTGCGGCCACCGCAACCTCGGCCTCATCCCCGAGCTGGCGCGCACGGGAGACCATCCGCAACCCATGCGCCAGGCGCAACCAGAGAGCCGATGACTGGGCTCAGCGCGGGCACTCTTCGGAGCGCGCAGCCCGGCTCCAGGCGATGTGCTGCGAGGCAGCGCGAGCCGACGGCTACGCGGTGACCTACTTCGACCTGGTCCAGTGTTTCGAGTGGGTCACTCACGAGAAGGCTTGGGCGGCGGCAAAACGGTGGGGCTTCAACCCCATCATCATGCGAGTCGTCCTGAGGATTCCCAGCATGGCGCGGCGCATCGTCCTCGACGGGTGCTACACGACGGGCAAGGCGTGGCAGCGGGGCATCGTGGCGGGCAGCCGCTACGCGCCTTTCTGCCTCAAGATGGTGATCATCCTGGAACTGGACGACCTGGTCTACCGGTTCCCCTGGGCAGACACCTGCATATTCTTCGACGACCATGCCATGGCCACGCACGGCCTCAGGGAGTTCGTCCAGCAAATCACCCCAAGCTCATCGCGGCGGCGATCTACATGTTCGAAGTGAGGCTGGACCTGGCAGTCTCACGCGGCGCGGAGGGCAAGACGGTCGCCCTGACCTCCAACACCGCGCTGGGCGACATTATCAACGCGAGCTGCAGGCGCCTGGGGGCACGCGCCGCCACGCACGAGAAGCACCTCGGCGCGACCTCGGCGGCTGGCAGGCGACGCCGAGTTGGAGCCATCAAGAAGCGCGCGCTGAAGTTTGCGGCGAGGCAGTCGCGGATTGCAGCAGTGCGAGGGGCAGGAGAAACAACACAGAAGCTGGTGCGCCATGCCAAGGTGCCAGCGCTGCTCTACGGCTCGGCAACGGTGGGCATGGCGGACTCCACGCTGCAGGAGCTGCGGACGAGCGTGGCCACCGCAATGCCAGGCTGCACCAAGGGGAGATCCACCAACCTTACGCTGCTGAGCGACGACGTGGATCCAGGATGCCTCGTGAACAGCGGGCCCATCATCGCCTGGGCGACTGCGTGGCAGGAGGCCAACACCGACGAGCAGCTAATGGAGCGGCTGCAGATCGCATGGAGGACGTGGGTCATGAGGGTGGCTGAGAGCAAGGTGCCCTGGCAGATTGTGCGTGGCCCGGCTGGAGCCTTCGTGGCCACGGTGAGGCGGCCCGGCTAGATGACGCAGGCCGCCTACAGCATCACGGTCGGCGGGAAGCTGTACGACCTGCGCTACATGTTGCTGCAAGGGCTTTACCAGCTCGTGCGCACGGCGACGCAGAAGCAGCTGAAGCACGGGTGGGTGCAGCACTGGGGCCAGATCCACGGCATCGAAGACATCTTCATCGAGCCCGTGCGGGCGCTGCTACGAAGGCCACTACGCGGACGCTGGACTCAAGCTCACCGCACACGAGTACGAGTCCTGTTCTGCGGCGGATCGTGGCCACAGGCACGCCTCCATGCGAAAAGGGCGGCGCCAGATGACATTTGCAGAACATGCTGGTCGGCAGCATGTACAGATCGTCACCGTACTTTTGTCTGTCCAGCTCGACATGCACATCGAGAGCGAGTTGGAGGCCGACACATCGTTCAACGTGGAGCAAACCCTTGGCCTGGACCAGGGACCATGGCATTGTGGGGGCCCTGCATTACCAGCTACCCTGCAGAGGAGCTAAACTTGTGGAACCTCGAGTCATGCGACGCGTGGCTCACCGAGGGCGAAAGGCACGGTTTAGCGACGGGTAACATCTACACCGACGGCTCGTTGCAGTTCGGCGACTTCGCACCGCTGCGGCGCGCAGGCTGGGGATTCATACGCATCGATGACGACCTCGAGCTGGAGTACGCTTGCTTCGGGCCTTTGCCAGGGCCGCAATGGACACAGTATTCTACGAGCTGAATTGTACGCAATGCTGCAGGCGATCAAAGTTGCCGCGCCGCCGCTGCGTATCTTCACGGACGGCCAGAACGTACTGGACGGCCTCGCCAAGGGGCCGCAGGCGCTGGATCGAAGGAGCCGCAAGCACCAAGACTTGTGGGACAACATCTGGGCCGCTGTCGACGACACCGGTGGCGTCGGCCCGAGGACGGTTTCTTTTTGCAAGGTGAAGGCCCCACGCCGCGAGGGCTGAGCGGCAGCGCGTAGGCCTCTCGAGGTGGGAAAGCAATCGTCTCGCTGAAAATTTCGCGAAACAGGGAGCCATGTACCATACCCATCCGTCTTGGTGTAGAGATGCGTACATAAATGAATACAAACTCGTCAGAGACATTCTCGAAGTCGGTGCCCATGTTGGATTGCTCAGTCGAGATATTGTCGACACTGAACTGGGCTCGAGTCTGGCCATGGTCTCGAACCCCCCCCTGCCCCCGACGTCCTGGACCTCCTTGGGACTCCTGGGACGCCTGAAGGCGTGGAGGAGGGGGCTGTGGAGCCCCCTCGGGGGGCAACCTCGGGGAGCATCGTCACCCAAGACTGCCTCCCCCCGCCCTCGAAGGCATCCCCCCCACTCTAGGGCCGCTCTGGACTGGGGGGGAGTCAGGGTTGATAAAGCGAGGAGTGCTGGGCATCAGTTGGTGTTCCAGCCAAGTTTTGCGTTTTGTCATAGGTGTGCCAGGTAAGTCCGCGACAGGTGGACGGGCCTGCTCTCCCAATGTCAACCTGGGTCCCAAAGGGTGACCGGGGGTAGGTTAGAGGGTTTGTGGGACGGTAATCACCCCACCACGAACAAGCCAATTTGAAGGTAGGCCCTCGTGGGCAATTCCAAGTTTCCTGGTTTCCGCTCGGGGACGGCCCGAAACGGCCAGGAAACCCGCGGTAGTAAATCCATAGGGGCTTTGCTCACCGTTTGACCAGCTCTAATCCAGCTCTAATCCTCCTCCTCCTCCTCCTCCTCCTCCTCCTCCTCCTCCTCCTCCTCCTCCTCCTCCTCCCCCTCCCCCTCTCCACCCTCCCCCCCATCCCCTGGTCACCCCCGTTTATCGCCAGAGATGAATCCGAACTCCCTCTGAGCGGGGCGGGTGCGCGCGCCGAGAGGTCGGTCTTCATCTTTCCATCTCCTCCTCCTCCTCCTCCTCCTCCTCCTCCCCTCCTCCCTCTCCCCGCCCCCCTCCTCCTCCTCCTCCTCCTCCTACTGCTCCTCCTCTGCCTCCATATCTCATCCTCGTTCTGATGCCTCCTCCTCATCATCCTCCATCTCTTCCTCCTCGTCCTCCTTCTATTATCTCTCTTCCTCCTCATCCTCCTCCTTCCTCACTCTCCCCCCCTCTCTCCCTCCTAGCTGGGGCTGCGTAATAATCCTCCTTGTCCTCCTCCTACGCCTCCTCCTCCTCCTCCTCCTCGTCCTCCTCCTCTCAATCATATTTCCCATTTGGGGGGCCTCGGGGGGGGTCGTCGCCATGGGGCGGGCCAGGATGAATCTGGTAAGAGGTCCAGCCAGGGACGGGTTTTGAACGGATTTGGCCAGGCGGGCCAGCCACCTAGGTCATGCAGCTAGCTTCGCGCTGCGGCGCTTCGCGCGTCGCGCTGCGTTGTCATAGTCGCGATCGTGAACGGCCTCTGTGGAGAAGGGCCGCTTCCTTGACCAGACTAGGAAGTGCGAGAGGCAGCTGTCTTCGCGCCCTTGCGGGTAGCCTTGAGGACCCATGCGCAGGTCTTAAGGGGGTCCTGGAAACGACAAGGCCGTTTTTGTTACCGGTCCCGTTTTGCCATTTTCTTGCCGGTTCCGACAACTTGTCGCCGTTGTCTTTCCTGTTCCGGCTCCGATTCCGATCCCGGAGCGGTCTACTTTTGCTGCTTCAAGAGGCACTGTTCGGAAACTGTGAAAAAACCGGCCCTGCCGCTTCCGGGGGTCACTAAGGCGCAGGCACAACGCGTGCAGAGACAACGATGAGCCATTGCTGCGCCGATCGACTGCGAGGTTGCTCGCGGGGCACCTTCTTCGAAGAGCCCCGGCATGCCGCGCTAAAAAAAACATAGCGGTACCACGTCTCCGGGCACCGCTGCCTGTACAGGCGCTGTAGAAGCGTGCAGGCGCGGGGTGAGAAGAGCGCCGACTCCTGCACGCACTCTGATTCGGACTGGCAGTCGCAGGTAGCGAACACCGGAGGGCCAACTGTGCGGGGCAACGATAGGGAGGGACTGGCACTGGGGGGGTGCATCGACCTGGAATCGGCGATACATCGCCGATAGATCGGCGATAAGCCTCCGATTGTGAATCCGCACCTTCCTGGGCAAGTTCGGACTATCGGGCCCAAATCGGCGATCATTGGGCGATTGGGTGTCGATGCATCCCCCCCTATGCCTATCCCTCCCATCGCTACCCCTGAAGTTGAGACAACGGCGCTATCCTGCCCGACCCGACTCCGCTCAGAACACATCGGTCGCCAGAACCCTCCCTGGACCCGTCCCGACTTGTTCTCCGAGGCGCATCCCGCCGCAGCGACGTGAAGGCTCTGGGAGGCCCAAGACGAACGAGAAACGTCAGGGAGGGCCGCCGTTGACTCGACTGGCCCTCCTCCGAGAAAAGGGAAAAGAAAGAGGAGGAGGAGGAGAGGGAGGAGGATCCTACATTTACTATTCGCGATCACGGCCATCACCCTCCCCCACCCTTCCCCCCCCCGTGACGCAACGATTCGCGCCGGCGCCGTCTGGGAATTGGCCACTCCTCTAAACTCCCGAAACGGCGGCGCGAATCGTAACTTGACCGGCCCCCTCCTCCCACCCCCTGCCCCCGCCGGTCACGCCCGATCGCCAACAAATAAGAAGGCCCCGAGAAGGAGGGGCAGTGTTAACCCAAGACGCATCAATGATCGTGCAGTAAAACCTCCCTCGAAATTCCATCCCTCCAAGTACCCCACGGGAAAAAAAAAACGTTTGAGAATCCTCAATCTTGCAGAACCAACGATCCTTGGAGTTCAACGCCGCGACTGAACGCGATTGTTGCGTCTTGACAGTCCCAAATCGTGCCAGAAAGCCCTTCCTGAGAATTCAGCACCGCGAATCAACGTGAACGTTGCGTCCTGACAACCCTAAACCGAACGAGGTCTCAGCCCATGAAACTGCTGCAAACTTGCACGACGAATGCGCGAGGCGCTTCGGTACAATTTGATAAAGAACCGCCGTCTATCTTTGAACCTGTTGCAGATGTTTAAAAGAGCATGCGCGGGGCGAAAACGATAACCACATGTTGTAAACCACCCGCCATCCATCCGTGAAACTGCAGTGACACTTTAGAATGATGTGACGGCGCTAAAACGATTACCATGTGTTGAAAAGAACCCCCTCCACCCGTGAAGCTGCTGCAAACATATAACGCGAATGCGCGCGGTGCTGAACACTTTGAAAACGAATGTGCGCGGCGCTCGCTGCTACGGTGAAAACCACATTTTGAAAAGGACCCGCCCTCCATCCGTGAAACGGTTGCAAACTTCAAGCTTCAGGAGCACAAAGCATAAGCGGCGAATGAGTCTCAAGCGAACCGCCCGGCCCGCCCGATTGACACGTCTAATCAGGGCGCAACAGGGAGGGGCGATTCATACGGGAGGAGATGGGGGAGGAGGAGGAGGCACAGACATAAGAGGGCGTTCCGAGTTACGAACGCACCCGACATAAAAGATGGGAAAAAGGAGGTCAGGGACTTCAGAGAAGTGCAACTGCCACTTTCAAATTTTCCTGGTACCTCATCCCCCGGAGGACGCATAGGAGCAATTATGACGCCACGGTCGTATACTGACCGCGGCCCTCGCCTCCCAACGCCGCGTCCGCGGCCACGAGCGCGGCCACCCTCGCCAGCACCGCCGCGCCCCACGGCAAGCAGCGGCGGTCGCGGCGCCGACGACGACGACGACGCCGACGCCGAGGCAGCAAACGCACACGACCTGCACCCGCCCGACCGCCCACCGCCTCCTCCAGAGGAGGGAGACCTAGGAGACGCCCGCTCCCTTCAGGAGAAAGCCCATCCTGAGACGAGGCCTTATCTCCAGGGCCCCCGGTTACCGCATGCGAGCCACGGCCATCCAGGCCCAGAGGAACCCCAGTACGCGGGTGCAGCCCACGAAGAGTGCGGAAGACTTGGGACCGCTCATTCGCCCTCGTCGAGGCGACTTTAGAGCGGCCCTTGCAGTCATCCAGGAGCTTCGGATTCCTGCCCTGGCCCACAACATGGGTCCCCCACTCGAGACAAATGATGGTGGGACCGCGATTTTCGACCTCATGGCCACGGGCTCTGTAAAAGGCGACTTCCTCCTCCACCGCCGAACCATCAAAGGAGGGGGGAAAGAGGTTGAGGGCCGATGCCCTCCGCGTCGGCCGCTTGCATCGCGAGCGCGACGGCGGCCGAAGTTGAGGGACGGTACACATCAGGAGCGAGGGAGAAATATCGTCCCGCCGCCCAGTTAAAGCTAGCCGTGGGCCAACTCTCCTGCAGACACGAAAGACATGGGAGTGCGGGCAACTGTATCGCAGCGCGCACGGCGGTGCTCTCCGGTCCTGGCGCTCACATGAAACTCGTGCTGGCTGGACCAACTGCACAACAAGAGCCACTGGCCCCCGAGGAACTACCACCGAGGTTGGCTCGAGGGACCGAGGGCACAGAGAAGCCGACCTCTGGGCCACCACCTGGACCATCCAGGCGAACGCGTTAGCGTTGGCTTTAGCCTCCTTCAGCTTACGCTTATGGTAGTCAACTAAAACTTCCCCCACTGCGTGTTTGGCACCCCCCCGCTTGGCGAACATATCTGCCCAATTGTTGCCCGTGGAGTTGAAGAAGCTAGCCTCGGGATCGGCAACACCATCATCCAGCTTCTCATGGGCAGGGGTCCACTCAAAGGTGGGGCGACCAGTGCGGTACAAGGCGTGGGCTCTCCGCCAGACACTCGCATGAATCGAGAAAGCCTGTTCGTTTTGAGGCCCTCAATGTTCACCATCACGCACAAGTGACAAATTATCACTGATGACATGGGCGGGCTTCGCGGTGACCACCAGCCCCTTAGCCACAACATAATACTCGGTTTGAGCCACTGTTTGCACCCGGCCTGGAAGTGGCCCGTACCGGGCTCGGAGGGGGAGACCGCTGTCCGAAATCTCCTCAACAGCCCATCCGCAGCGGGTGGGACCAGCCACCCCCGACGCCAAGCCAGACCGTCCGTGAAGATACGCCTCCCCCATGTACCAGCCCAATCCCCCCAACCAAAGATTTCGAGGGACGGCTCGACGTCGGGGTGGAAAACCATATATATATATATATATATATATATATTATATATATATATATATATATTAGATATGAAAAATACAAACATTCGACCCCAGCAACACCATTGACTTCTATCTTTCTGATCAATAATCACGGCTATACGTTCGAGGATCTCTGGAGGGACGGAACTATTGTCATGTTCGTCGCACTCCTGCAGCATGCCCGGGCAAACCACTGATGAGCATACGTGCCAACAGCATTTTTGCACACAACGCATTTGTCATCGCCACGCTTGTTTATGGCGAAAAGACGCACGGGCGGCCAGCAAGCAGAGGCCCACAAGGCTCGCAGAGCACCGCGCCTCGCAGAATTCGAAATACTCCAGACAGCCGCACGCATCGCCCGAAGCCAGCACGACTCGCCAGCACTACCGGCGAAATACACAAGGATGCGCTGCGACTGCCAGCGCTGCAACCATTCTTCAAGATGACGCTTGAAGTCGGCGGGGCAGGCGCACAGCAAATCTATCCGGCGGCCAGTCTCATTAGCCAGCACCGTGGGGGAAAGCATATTCCACCCAATCCGAAGAAGCCGAAGAGATGGGGCCACGAACGCCAGCCCAAGAGATCTGGCTTGAAAATCACTGCTTGATGCATTCCCAAACTCGCCGACGCCTACTGGGGCTGACGCTGTGCTGCCAATTCCAGGCCGCATACCGACAAACCAGCAAGGTCCACGCATCAAGAATTGGATCGTACCGAAAACTGGGCTGAGTAGCCAAGTAAAGAGTTAAACAGCACATCGACTTCGCCCCAACGAGCCCCCCCGCCATAGTGAGAAAAGTGCGAAACGCCGTGTCGGACACGCCTGAAACTACGGCCCCGTGCCCAGCAGATAGCATAAGGCCAATGCGCCAGAGGCCGGCCACTCGGTCTCCGACCGCACGGCGGAGACTGGGCAGCTTGGCCTGGCGCGTACATACCTTGTGAACCCGGGAACGCTCTTGGATCCTCTGACCCGCAGCCCGTGGAGTAGGTTGCGCATGGCCTTCTTAGAGGCCAGCTTCAAAAGACCTACAAAATGAGCAAAACGCTTCCTGGCACCAGCGGTGCTGGTTACAAAGCCACACTTGGGGAACTGTGCCATCAGCCCTAAGGGCTTCACAGAAGCGACAAAGGCACTGATGGCGGCATGCATCTCGCGGATAGGATCCCTCCTCTCCCGCCGCAGCCCCAAGAGCCCAACTCCCAATCCACTGGAAGCTGATGTCATCAATCAGCGCTCTGGGCGTGACATTGAAAAAAACATGCACCGTGCTGCGCATTCTACGGGAGATGAAGACCATGCGCAGTGTCGTAGCCAATGAAAACCCTGCCAGGATACCTTGCAGGGAGATCACTGCGTAGGGCAAGCCACCACACGCCTTGATGAGGCGAAGCTGGACGTGCGTCTGCACCGCCATCCAGCATAGCCGGGGAGGAAAGCCAACATGGAAGGTTTCACCCATCAGATCGTCCAGCCTCACCGTCTCGTAGCATTTCAGCATGTCCAAGAAAGCGTTGACCACGTCCTCGTCCAGCTCGTGCCCGATCTCTGCCTCCATGTTGAGACCGAACGCGCAGTCGCAAGACGACCGACCAACACCAGTGCCCCAGAAGGCGTCGGCCTGATGCTCCGACTGCCAGGCCGCAGCCAGGGGCCTGCGCATCCGCCCCGGATTTCATCACCACGGATCAACTTGAGTGTTGCGTCTTGACGATCGTAAACGGCGCCCAAACGCCATTCCTGGGACTTCAACACCGCGAACCAATGTAACTGCTGCACCCTCAGAATCCAAAATCCTTCTACCAACACCATGTCTGGTACGCTGGTCATGGGAAGCTGGGATGCTATAGCAAATGCCAAAAACGAATGCGCGC